GTAAATTTCATCCTTTGGGATGGTTAAAAAAAAAAAAAAAACAGCCCAACAACAAAAAAGCAAAACACCAATGAAACAAAAAACCCTTCAATTTACTTCATAACTCTTACGTGGAAAAGCCAGACCTGCCTATGAACAAGGGCAGTTCACCCCAAATGTCAGGGGAGGGACCTTTTGGGCCAGTGCTCAGTTGTGGGATCTGGGACAGCATCTGGAATAAATCAGATCTGTCTGAAAACTACTTTTGCCTTCTCTGAAGGAGAGCAGTTCCTGAAGAACCAGTCTCTGGGCTGATGTCCCTGGTGTTCCCCGCACCTGATGGCCATGCACTGCTTGTGTTAGAAGTTATATGAGAGAATTACTGAAAAGAAGATTATTCCTACAAATCTTATCCTTAAATCATAAGCCAATTATTTTTTCTTCTTTTTTTTTTTGTCCATAGGCAGGTGTTTTAAAGAGAATGTTTTAGTATAATGCCATGGCCTTCCGTGCTCAAGCATTACTTTGCTTATTGCAGTGCCGTGTGGTGGCAATTTGACGGAACGCAAAGGTACCATCCTGTCCCCTGGCTTCCCTGAGCCCTACCTGAACAGCCTCAACTGCGTCTGGAAGATAACGGTCCCCGAAGGAGCAGGGATACAGGTACAGGGTCAGCAGCTGCCACGTCAGCTGGGGAGGAGGACGCAGTGCTGGGGCACTGGGAGAGGCGGCGTGTTATGGCGTTGCTGCTCCTCGCAGGGAAGAGACCAGTTGAATGTGTAATTCTCTGAAATCAGACATCCTTTTGCACTGGCTGCCAAAAGCGGGTAATATTTCAATGGATTTTTGCCTCCTGGAGGCACTCTCCGTGGGAAGTCAACTGGAGCCACGTGGCTCTTCTGGTGTAACAAAATAATTGTGGTATTTTGGGCATATATCTTTATACTGCTTTAATTATGCAATGTTGAAAGCTGTGTAAGCTACACCAAGGAGGAGTTGCTTGCTCGGGGTGCCTGCGTGGATTTGTTGTGCCAGCAGAGTTGCAGCAGTGTGATTATACAATTACAGCTTTGCTCTGCATTGTCTCCAGGTAAATGAGCTCTCTCTTCAGGTCTTTTTGTGGTCCTTATCATTCCTCTGCAGAAATCCTCCTGCAAGCTAGAGGATGTTGAGAATTAAGCCCAACATCAGAGACCAAACCTTAGATAAAGTTCCCATTCAGCACGTAGGTGCCTTGCCCTCGCGGGAAGCATCTCACCGTGCGTTACGCTGACGTTAGGTGGCACACAGGAAATCCCAGAATGTCAGGGATTGGAAGGGACCTCAAAGGATCATCTAGTCCAATCCCCCTGCCGGAGCAGGACCACCTAGACCAGATCACAATCTTGGATGTGATGGATTGAAATGGATTCTTTAACAGGTTCATTCCTTCCACAGGCCTCATTGGCAGAGGGTTTCATCCTCCTTTACGCCACATTGTCTGCAAGGGGTTTGTTCATTAAGTGCTTTTATTTCTCTGTCATGTGTTTGCTAATGGATTTGTAGGTGGGTTCCTCCCTCTCTGCACCACTCGCAGCTGTTGGCACACAGCAGTTGTGTTTCTCTCAGCAGTTTTATTGAAGCATCAGCTCTGCCTTGTTGGGTTGTGGTTCTGCTCTCCCAGATGGGGCTTCTTACCTGGTGCCACCATCATAACTCAGAACCCAAAATTAAACCTGGGTCTGGGATGGTCAGAGCTGGTGAGAGCAGCACTGGAGGCTTCACAGCAACATAGCACAAGCCTGGAGAAACACTCTGAGCCCTCTGCCAGGCTTTTGCTGTGTCCAGTCCAGCAAATTCTGCTCTCCTCTTTGTTTTTGAAGCCATTTAAAATAGTTTTTTCGAAAGCCTCAGAGCTCACTGTCGATACTTTCCCGTTCATCCGAAATTTTAGCCGTTTTCAAAACCCCCAAATGACAGGAGGATCCGTTTAGCTCAGCCAAACGTCTGAGCAGTCGAGGCAGTTTGCAAGTTGCTGGGGACTCCTGGGACCAGGAGGTGATAATTCCCTTAATTTTTAAAGCGCTGTAAATAGATGTCTGTGTTCTGCACCGCCGCCTTCCGAATGCAAACCCTCGCCGCGCGTCTCAGCCCGCGGAGCTGCTGTTGCACGTGTCTGCAAAGCGTAGAGGAAAGCAGATATTGCAGGGGGCTGTTAAAATTGTGTCTGTATTCATGAGTGTTTGCTTCTCACCTCTTTGGAAAACATAACGCCAAAGTGTTTTAAAGGTTTGTTGGTTGATTTGGTTTTGTGTTTTTTTTCTTTTTTCCTCCCTTCCTGCTGCATGTGATCCCTTGCAAAGGGAAATAGATGTTTTGGGGTCAGCAGAATGCGTGCGGGCAAAAAAACGTGTATCCTGTGGCTGAGCTTTAACGCTGCCAAGCCGTAGGCTCAGTGTCTAGGAAGGTTTTGGTGAAGGCTGGACCGTGGTCCTTCAGCGTGAGCCCTTTTACTCTGGTGCCCATTTGGACCCGCACCCATGCTGGGGTCTCCGCTTCCAGACTGGTCACAGGGTGACGTCTTCCCTCACGTCAAACCAAATCCATCATCTTGCAACACCGGGACTTCCACTGGAAGTCTGCTCTGGGGGAGAAAGGCATTGCCAGAGGTATTGACCCCCAGGAAGTAAAGCAGCCCCGCGATGCCCTGTGCAGGAGCTGTCGGTCGAGGGGCAGCCCAGAGGCAGGGGGATGGCCGCAGAGCCGGGTGCTGCGTAACCTGTCTCGCTTGCATCAGCTCCACTTCCCCGGTCACCCACTTTTGTGCATGAGATGTTCTCGGTTATTAGATAACTAATTTGAGCATCAGTTTACCCTCGTTTTGTACAACAATTAAAGGTTAAACAACTGTAAATCGGAGGAGGAGGTGAAATTAAAGCTTTCTTGATAGTGGCGAGTCGCTGGCAGGATTTTTATGTAATCAGTGTATGAGCTAGTGCTTCTGCCATGAATTATTCATTCCTGGAGCAAACCTTCCTGAGTGAATTAATTTATATACGTGGCAGTAAATAGATGCAGATCCCTTGTGAATCCACATGTCAGACGAGAATTAGGACCTTAAAAATGTTTATTCCGTTAAGTAAAGGGGGGGAGTAGAATAAATAATTTAGAAAGTGTAAGAGCAAACAAAATGCACATTCTTAATCCACGTTTTCTTTCAATAATGCGAATCACAACAGGGGTGTAATTATGCAGCTGAAAGGTATCGACGTGGTCAGTGTGATCAGTAATGGCTCTACAGGGGTCACTGGGATTTCTGCTAGATGAACTCCACTTGTTTTTGGGGAAAAAAAAACCAACTTTGCAGGAACTTTATAGCCTTCTTTATTATTCAGAATAAATCAAGGAGGAAAAAGATTAAAATGGCAGAAATAATGGGGTTTGATTTTATTATTTTTCTGTTTAAAAGGAGTGTGTGTTTTATTTAATGTTTAGCAGGGCAAAGGCAAGCGAGGTGGTTGAAGTGGATGAGTAAATACAGAATAAGAACTCTGCAGGAAAACAGGGAGGGGGTTTTATGGGACATGCAGAGGGCAGGGAGCGTGTGTGTGCACAGGCACACACGTGTGTGTTCATGCAGTCAGGATTTGCAGTGCCCTCACATCTCTTCAAAGCCGTTGAGCCCAGCGAGTGTGTCCTGCTGAGCTCTGTGCTTCAGGGAGTGATTCGGTTGAATTCTGCAGGACGATGCTGATCAGAGGCATTAGACTTAGTAGGAAATCTTCATCCAAAGAGACCTCAAAGAGTTGAGGCTCTGCAGTAAGCACACGTGTGAAGGCTGGAGGCAAGGGGAGATCTACCTGCTGAAGTTCAGGTGTTCTCCCCAATCCTGGCCGTGGTGGATCTTTAAGGATCCTTGTTATTCAGGTCATTGGCCGAGAAGTTAAATTTGAGGTGTACCCAGTGTTGGAAAATTCCATCTAGAGCTTATAAATTAAAGTTTTTCCAAATGCTGCTGGTTTCTCTCAGCTTTGCTGCCTGGCACGCTCAGGCTGTTCACCAAATTCGATGTACAGCACAGCTTGTTTTTCTGAATGGGGCACTGAACACTTGGAGCTCCCAGTGCTTAAGAATAAAGGCAGAATCTGTTTTAATGGTAATCAAGGAAAACAAATCTGTGCAATTATATGTGGATCTGATTAAGTATGAGGGCTGCTTTTCAGTCTAAATGCAGATTTATCAGATCTGGTGGTGTTACTCATTTAAGGATTGCGCTGAAGTTCTAAGTAATGGAGTTGAGTGACTTCCTTGAGCCTCCAAACCTTGTGGAGCCTGGCAGAGAAAGGTGGGAAATTTGAAAATGCAACTTGAGTAATTTGACTAAAAGCTGAGAAACAAGGCAGTCGCAGAAACTTAATTGGGTTAAAAAAAGCCTTGTGGTTTAATGTGAGTTTCTTTGTTTTTATTTTAGCTCTTGGCTTGCTACTGGTTGCTTTCATATGAAAGAGTTGCAAAAGTCTTCAGGGATTTCTCAAAACAGAAAAAAATGCTCAGATTCTCAGCTGCTGTAAATTAACTGTGAAATTAGAGGAGCCCTCCCTTTGTAGCAGCAGAAGGCAACACCCTGATAAGGAAGTTTGGAGCGTAGTTTGTTGGAAATTAGCTGTATAACCCAGTGGTTGTAGTCAAAGGCAACAGGTCTCAAGTTCTCCCAGTGCATTAGCAGATAAAAAGCCCCAGGGTGTGTTGCTAACTTCATTAGTGGCCCTTCCATTGATACTATTTTGGTTTGTTACCATGACTGCAAGAGTTGCACCGTTACTTTTTTCTGTTTTCTCTTCAGATCCAGGTGATCAGTTTTGTTACTGAGCAGAACTGGGATTCCCTGGAAGTGTTTGATGGAGGAGATAACACAGCCACCATGCTGGGAAGTTTCTCTGGTACGTGTTCAGCATGACGTTCAGTGAAGCCCATCAGCACGTGCTCGATTCTGTTCACGTCAGCTGGGCTTCAGCACGTAGATAAAATTAAGCACAGACTTAAGTGCTTCAAAAACTCGGAATAGATTGAAGCGTGTGCTCAAAGGGAATCATGTGCTTTGTTGAACTGGGAATTTCACTGCTGTCTTCCTGCAGAAAACGTTGCTAGAGAGCCTGGAACACAAAAGCAGCGGGGTTAGCTTTGGGTTTTTTGCAAAAACCCGTGAGCACTCCCACAGCCTGGAAGCAGGAGCTCCCCCCGTGCTGCTGGGTTGGGGGGGTCAGCTCAGACCACTGCAGGTCACCCTGATGGGGCTGATTTGCACCAAAATGGATGAAGGGCTACAAAACCCCCTTTCTTTTGCTCGGCAGTGGCTTTCAGCAGAGCAGGGAGTGTTGAGCAGCCCAAGAGCATTGTGAAGCTTCTAAACAGCAGAGCCACTCGCAAACTGATGGCCCCGATTTGTGCTGATTTAATGAGCAGATGTGCTCAGCATCTTTTGAGGTTGGCAAGGAGAAGGGTGAGGCATAAAGACCAGCAGACTCGGCGTTTGAGATAGAACTGCTTTGACCTGCTGCAACAGCTTCCAGGGAATGAGGCAGGAGAAGGAATCCAGCCCTTGGGGGGGACCTGCGCTCCACCCACTCTGTTTCTCATCACTGGTTCCCTTCTCCATGCTTTTAGTCTGTCTGGTCTGTAAGTGGTAAAACTTCACATGATGAATTTCATCAGTAGACTTTGAAAAGGCCATTGTGGAGGGGCCTTGGGTATTTCTCAGTTGGCCTCATTAGAACCTGATCAAAACCAACAGAGCTTGTTAAGTTAAAGGACTTTTGTTCTCAGCCTCTTCTGCAGCTAGTCTCCGAGGACACGGAGGAGGAAAAAAGAATCCTCTTCAGTATCTTTGTGCACCTCTTGTTTTCCCAGGAACTACAGTGCCTGCGTTGCTGAACAGCACTTCAAACCAGCTCTATCTGCATTTCTATTCGGATATCAGCGTCTCTGCTGCTGGCTTTCACCTGGAATACAAAAGTAAGAGCAATTCAGCCTTGATCTCGCAGTTCCTCTGAGCGATGGGGAAATGGTTACGGAGCCGTTGCCTTGTAGGAGTGGAAGCTGCTTAGTGGGGAAGGGGCGGTGAGCCTGAAGACCCGGGGGTGTGTGGTTCCCTGCTCAAGTTGCAGAGAGATGGTGAGCGTTAAATGGAGAACAGATGCAGCAGAGAAGATGTGGGGTCATGGGATGACCCTCATCATGCTGCTGATGCACTTTGTAGCACCTATTTGGTTTCTGTGTTGTAGCACAGGAGGAGTTGTGGAGGCCAAAGTATTAAAAATTCATGGAGAATTGGCCTGTTCAACACAGTGCTGTCATCTTTGCTCGGGAAGTGCCTGAACTGATGGCTGCCAGAGGTCGGGAGGGACTGCCTGCTCTCTGCAGTCTTTGCTACGCATTATCCATCATTGCTGGAAACAGCATGCAGGGCTGGATGGACCTTCATAGGATAGTTCCAGTTGGAAGGGACCTCAGAGGTCATCTCATCGAACCTCCTGCTGAAAGCAGGGTCAGATATGAGATAAAACCTAGATTACTCACATAATTTACATGTCTTTATGCGGTCTGTGCTTGAAAAACTCCAAGGACAGAGACTGCTCCTTTCTCCCCATCTATTGTGTTGGCTTAGCGGGTTCATCCGTTATGGATTATGCCAGATTCCTTGCAGAATGGCAGTGCTTTGCTTCTCGGGGGTCTAATGCAAAGCTGCATTCAGTTCTTGGATATCCAGACCTGAGAACATCGGTACATGTGATGATATACAGAGACAGCATTTAAAAAAAAGAAATCCTCCCTGGTAAGAGAAGCTGACTAAAACTAGAAGATGTGACACGAAAGAGAAGAGTCTCTTGGGAAAGGGCTGTCAGGTTTGGGTAAGGATGCCAAAAATTCCTTCTCCTCCATGTCTGTGTTTTGATCCCTGCTATCGGAGCAGACATCCGTTTGGGAAAGCTGTGCTACAGCCAAGGTGCAGCAGATCACGGGGATGGTGGCTGTTGTCCCACGGATGGTGCTGCACCCAGGGCTTGAATTATTCACGTATAGCCCGGCAGCAGCGCGGTGCACAATGGTGCACAACGGTGCACCGCCAAGCAAGTGGGTGCAGAATGGCAGCTCTCAGATCTATCCAGCACAACTAAACTGGATGTTTAGCTGGCAGTCGGGGAAGGAAGCAGGCTTTGCGTTTGCAGAGAGACGGGTGCGACAGGGCCAGGAGCCAGTCTGGTCGATGTGCAGCTCTTGGGGGACTGGTTAATGCCTGGTGATGGTCTGGCTCAGTTCCTGCCTTGGTAGCAGCCATGGGGAGCTGATGAGATGTGCTGGGACTGCTGTCTCTGTTCACACAGTCTTCCTTGGGGCAATGCAAACGTAATTGTTTCTTGCTGGACACCGTGCCTGACAATTGGTTCTGATCACAAACCTTGTGTTTGTCTCCGAAGCCAACCAGTGTTCTGTTTGTTTTTTCCAAAGCAGCAAATAGATTTGAAAATGCGTTTAATTTTGTGTAACAGACACAGAAATGGCATAGCTGCTTGACTGCAGAGACTCTGTGCTTTTAGAGGGCCAGCTAGTCCTGAGCTTTCCAGGTTTTACCAGGTTTGCAGATTGAAATCTTGCATGTTAATGGATCCAGCAAGATTGTGGCAACCAAGAAGACTGGGGAGAGAAGGTGTGTCCCAGATTGCTCTCTGCGAGCTGGAGAAATAGATGTCCTTACAGAAGTTCTCTTGCTGCGACTCATTCTCCATTTCTGTTTCAATATCTAGGTTTGTTGAGGATTGTGTTATCCCACTGCAACGATCATGTTCAGGTTTTTCGTGAGGCTTGGGATTATCAGACTTGCTTGGTTTCTTTGCTGAGAAAATTAATAGGTGTTGATTTTTAGGGCAGCTGGAGATAATATATTTTTTGCTTTACTCGTACAATTGGAATTTCCCAGCTCTGAGCCCCAGGTTTTGTCTGTGTTTGGCTAGAGGTGCTGCAAGGAAGTTTTGAGCGAAGAGGTAAAACACCAGCGTTTGTTCCCTCCCCTTTCTCCCTGCTGGATTCCTCAAGCAAAACTCTTCTACGTGCTCGAAAGCCAAAGCAGACCAAGAACAATTCAGGACTGGGTGAAACTCAGTGCCTGCTGATTTGAATAGGAAGTTATTTGAAGCTGTTTTCTCTCTTGTCTGTCTGAAGGTCCAGCCATGCAGCCACGTGCGCGGAGGGAGGACGCGCTTTCTGCTGGGAAGCGTGACTCGAGGTGTCGGGAGGAGAGTCAGCATCTCCTCTCTCATTTCTTTTCTTTTTTTTCCATCTGTTTTCGGTTCAGCCTGTGGATTTGAGGGTTTCAGCAGAGCATCAGCCCTTGCAGTGCTGCAGAAGGTTGTCTTTGGGTGGCATCTGCCAGCACTGAGGGCAAGGGAGGTGCTGGCAGGGGGCTGAGGTGAGGTGCCAGTGGATGCCTGTCTTTGTTTTATCTCCCTTTGGTGTTGCAGAAGGAAGAGGAGGTGATGTGTGTAAAGGGGAGAGCACATCACCCAACCCACGATTTCGGGGATGGTTAATGGGTTTGCAGCAGGATATTCCCAGTTGTAAATGTAGCTCAGGTGGAAGTGGGATGTGTGCACATGGTGTAACACGAATATGGACCTCGGATGGGATGGGTCTCTGCTGGGTGTTTTGGTTTGTGAACCGTTGAGAATGAGGTGGTCTTTGCTTTGTGGATGGACTTGCTGTTGCAGGTGCAGCTCTTCCATCGAGTCATTGGGGTTCAGTCAAAAACGTTTGCAGCCACGAATCGCAAAATGATTTGTAGTGACTTTGTGCATTAAACGTGTGCTCCAGGCAAAGTAAAGGCACTAGATGTGAATAGTTCTGGGTTCTGGACATACCCTGTAATGCAGGGGAACACTGTGTGATCTCAGGGGTGTCTTGTTGGAGAATCCAAAGACCGTGGGACTTTCCCTCCCAGTGGGTTGGTGAACGGAGGAATGGATGAAATGAAGATGTGCGTTTCCATTCCTTCTGCCTTCAGCACAGACCCCATCCCTGCTCCCCGGAGCACTCACCTTGCTCTTCCCTTCGCAGCCGTCGGTCTGTCCAGCTGCCCGGAGCCCCCCATCCCCGGGAATGGCCTGAAGATCGGCGAGCGCTACTTGGTGAACGATGTCGTCTCCTTCCAGTGTGAACCGGGCTACGCGCTTCAGGTACTGAATGTTTGCCAGCAAAAAGAACAAGAACAAATGTCTGGGATACAGGGAGACCCTCCAAACCCTGTGTCTGGTTTTCCTCCCCTCCAGGGCCACTCTCACATTTCCTGCATGCCAGGCACTGTCCGCCGCTGGAATTACCCACCTCCACTTTGCATCGGTAGGACTCTTGTTCTTTCATACCTAACAGATGTTTATGGTGCTTTTCTAGAAAAAAAGGTAAAAGTCTGAGTTAGAGAAATGCAGGTTTGTTCTGGAAGTGAGATGGAGCATGAAAAAAAAAAATCTTCATTTGTTGCAAGAGGAAATTTCAACGGACGAGTCCCTCAGGGCCGCCCAGGGTGCTTTGTTTTGAACGCTTAAAATGTGGCTTTAATACAAAATGTAAAATACAAAAACATTCTCTCAACAAAAAATTGATTCAAAAGGGAAAACCTGGAACTACTTTATACTGAAAGCGAGTTGATTCTATGGGCTGAAGGGATTTTTTCCCATCTTAAGCAAAGATCTGCAGACTGTGGTTTATTTTTATGAAATACATCTTGGTATCACTAAAACTGCATCTTTTACTGGGGTCCATTTGCTCTCCCAGTGTCTCTGAACTGCACCCCTTGGTGCCTTGCTGTCCTCACTTTGGTGCCTGGCAGGTCCTGTGTGACCAGCAAGAGCCCGGTCAGTAGCCCAGCCCGCCGCTTGCCCGCGGCACCCTCCGAGGAGCAGGGCTGACCCTGCCGAGAGAAAAGGACCAGGCAGTCGATTCCCACCGCGGAAGAAATAAGCCCTCATAGAGGCACAGAGGTGAAGGGAACTTGCTGGAGTTTTTGGATTATTTTCATTATTTTGCTTTTAGCAAATCTAGATGTTTAATATTCATATTGCGCATTTTACAGCTTTGAGAGAGACATTTATGCATTTAATAGCTTTAGTTAACAGTTATTTCAGGCTCCTGCTGTTCTAGCTTACATCATTTTGCTTTAAAGTAATTATAAGAGCTAACAGTTCTTTTATCCGATGATCTGCGGGCCAGGAATAAATTCAGAGACATTTGCAGCAGAACGGCTGGGCTAAAGGACCTGTACCCATGGGAGATGCTCTGAAAGAAGTCAGAAGCCCTTCAGCTCAGCGTTCGAGCTGAGGGATCCCAGCCTGGGGAGGATCCCAGGATTATCACCTAGCTCATGAGTAGCTGAGTGACTACAGGTTTCAAGTTTTCTTCTTTTAATGGACATCGGTCACCCAGTTCAGTAGGGTTTGCCTGGTTGGGCTGTGCCTACTGGGCACTGTCGCAGTGTAAACACCGGAGCGATTTAATTCAGATGTCTGGGTTTGGACACTCATGACCAAGCACAGTGGTACAAACACCCATCCACCTCTCTGTCCATATCTCTCACCTTGCATCACGCTTGACCAAAGAAGGTCATCCAGCGTGAGAGGGGCATCAACACAGCTCTGCAGCGAAATGTGGGTCACAGTCAGTGACCAGTGTCTCTTATGGCGATGCTGCAGCACCCCATGCTGATGGTCCTGAGGCTCGTTGGCATGTGCTAATCGTGCACTGATGTCTCTAAACCCTGTGAAGGGCACCACTGGCTGCTGGGCCCACCAAAGCCAGCCTTTGGTTGTTCCTTTGCTTGGAGAACAGCTTGCTGCCCTGCCGAAGTATGCTGATTTTCTTTTGGTCTGCTTCATCCAGAAGCTTGACTTCTAAATAATTTAGTAGTAGTTCTATTAAAGGGCCATTAAGAGGAAAAAGAAAGAGAAACCTTCTGGGAGAAACCTTGTTAGTAGCCAGTACACATGTAGTGAGATATTGGACAAAGAGAATCTGTACCTTCACTGTCAGAACGTGTTAGGAGCACACCTGGGTGTGTTCAGCTGGGTGGTATTACCATAGCAAGGCAGAGGTCATCCAAATAAGCATGAGAAGATGCTATCTGTGTTTAAATTTAATGTGATGCCTTTTGTAAACATATTTTTCTGTTGTCATCTGTGGATCGCTTCTTGGTAGGGAATTTACTTCAGTCGGTGTGCAAACACTGTTCTGTATTTATCAGTAATTGCCCAGAGATGGACAAGTATCGCGGTCAGGGTAGATCGGGTAGCCAGGAAAAGAAGGAGCAGTAACTGGAATCAAAATAGCATCAGTCTGTTTCTTCAGAGTAATTTTGTTAGGTGGTTAAAAATTCAAACGAGTGCTGTGCGCACGATGTGCGCCGTTACGGTGTCTGTGGACAGAACAGAGCATCCATCTCGCCTCTTGAGGCTCAGATCTGTCTCTCCCACTGTGATTGCTGACACTGGATCCCTGTGCCCAGACTTTTATCTCCAGAGGGCAGGAGAAAGCCACACGCATTAGTAATGTGGCCATGCAGTGCCTGGCAAACTTTGTGCTAGTTTCATAGCAGGCTTTCCTTCTTCTCGTCTTAGTTTCTAATTTCTTATTCCCCCTGCAGCTGGCTGGCCATGGCCATCGTCCAGAGAGAGCTGTAAGTGATCCCCACCATTAACACTGTTGATTTTACAGCCCAGTGTGGAGGAACAGCAGAAGAGATGGAAGGAGTGCTCCTGAGCCCAGGGTTCCCGGGAAATTATCCAAGCAACCTGGACTGCACGTGGAAGATATTGCTGCCAGTGGGGTTTGGTGAGACAGCTGGGTTTGGTGTGATGCTATCACAAAAGAGGTGGTAGGAAGATACTGTCCCTGTTCGGTCAGCGCATGGTCAGTGCTGGATGCACTGCTGCCAAGAGGAGTTAGAGAAACTCTTCTTGTTTGACCCCCTGATCACGCTTTCTTTGTGTGGTGCTATGAAATGATAAATATTTTTTTGAAAGGTGGTGACAGGTCACCATGGGGTGTAACAGGTTGATATGGATTTGTGGGCATCCTCCGAGTCAGCTGTGACATCCTCCCTTAGTGTGCTTGCATACTTCTTCAACTTCTTGTGCTCGTAATAGCCTTAAAACATCACCAGTTGCATCACCCTTTGTAAACGTAACAAGTGACCAAAGCTCCTGTCAGGTTTTGTCCCACCTCAGCCAGAGGTTCACGCAGGCATCAGCACGTGCAAAATTAGGCTCTCCCCAGCCCTTAGCAAGAGAGAAACTTGCCCACCTCCAGCTCAGCTCTTCACCAGCCAGGAGGTGGAAGTATTGCACGCCTGGAAGAAGTGCTGACTCTCCCAGTTTCCTGAATTAACCCTTCTCCTCCTCCTCCTCGTGCTGCTGGGGAAACGAGGCCACCTGGCTTGGTCTGTCCTGCCTCTGAGCTGCTGCGCTCGGCTCAGCGAGGGGAGATCCAAGTAGCTCTGGCCTTGCCTTCCTCATTTCTCCGGTGTCAGGCAAGGGAGAGGTGTGCACAGGAACTCCAGCAGCACGAAATTCCAGGCGTTAATAGCCTGGGCTTGTCTGAAACCAGCAGGACCTATATAGGTACAGGAATCTCTACCTCCAACACTGTAAACGTGCTCCTGCTGATTGACCCGGCTGTCCTGGGCATCGCTGGGTGGGAGGGCTGATGTGGTAAGGCTTGGGTACAGCTTCAGAGGCAGACTGCTCCTTCCTCCTCTCCAGGGGCCCACGTCCAGTTCCTGAACTTCTCCACTGAGCCAAACCATGACTTTGTCGAAATCCGCAACGGGCCGTACGACACCAGTAACGTCATCGGGCGGTTCAACCGGGCTCCCTCCTGTCCACCTCTCACGAAACCACCGTGTACTTCCACAGCGACCACTCGCAGAACAAGCCAGGCTTCAAGTTGGAATACCAAGGTAAGGAGGCCACGGAACGAGCAGCGGTGGGACAATCCTGTCCCCGGGTGCTAACGGTGAGAGTAGGTGTCACGGTCGTTGCTATTCTGTTGAATTAATTCCATGAGGACTTAATCCAAATGAGTGGAAAGGTGTTACATGAAGGCCGTGCTTAATCCTAGTAACTGGGATCTGTTCACCCAGACTTATGCCCACGGCAAATAACAAATGTTCCTGGAGTGCTTTGTGACAGCGAAATGCCTTTGAATTAATTCCAGCCAGATTCACTTAGGTCTTGGCTCTGCCGGCTGTCACGTGCAAAGAGAAGAGTCCTCAGCACCCATGAGTTTGCTCTGGAATTTTGCAGCTGCTTTTGAGTCTCAGCTGAAGTCCAGACGTGTCTGTAGGTGCAGCCTGGCCGTGTGCTGGGTAAGGCTGGTGGGGTACTGGGCAAGCAGGTGAATAGCCGAAGGGTACAGTGACAGGGCTGCGTGGATGCCTGGAGTGAAAGGAGGGAAATAAGTCATTAAAATCATAGAATCATAGAATGGTTAGGGCTGGAAGGGACCTTCAAAGGTCATCTAGTCCAACCCCCCTGCAAGGAACAGAGATATCTCCAACTAGATCAGTTTGCTCAGGGCCTCGTCCAGCCTGGCCTTGAACATCTCCAGGGATGGAGCATCCACCACCTCTCGGGGAAATCTGTTCCAGTGTTCTACAAAATCAAAAGATGCCCTCAGTGCAGTTTTTGGAGATGATGAGGGAATGGAGGTGCCTACTTGCTTACCCAGCTTGAGTCCTCGGGCAGCTCACTGGTTGTGACCGTGGTGTCTCCTGAGCAGCAGCTGCTGCAGTCTCTGAAGCCAGCGAAGTGAGGCCCTGGAAGTTTTTCTTCTCTTGGTGGATTTGCTGCTCTTTGGAGGTGCTGAACTGGGGCTGTGCCCACGTGAGTCTTTGCCCCGTTGAAAGAAAATGTGAACTTTTGTCCCTGCTTGATCCACAGCTCTTCCTCGATGGGTGTCTTTGCAAAAGCTTTTGGTCTTCTCTGTCCTTGTGTCCTTGGCATATGGGAAAAGGATGGGGCAAAGGATGCCAAGGGCAGATTGTGTACGTCGTAGTGGATACGATTAGATGGGCTTTGCTGAGAGCCAAGTGCTCCGGCCGCTGCCTGGGAGCAAGATCTGAGGAGTGGGAAAGGTGGAGCATGTGTCTCCAGCCAAGGACTGGCAAGGGGCTGACTCCCCAGAAATAGCAATAAAAGCTGCTACTCGTGCTTAATTGCACACATTAAGGAGGAAGAAGCCAAGCAGCATGGTGAGTGTACTGTTCCCGCTTTTGTGCGAAAATACAAAGTTTGAAACATTTCTCCTTGGGTTTTATGTTTGTCGTTTTTTTTTTTATTTCCAGCCTACGAGCTGCAGGAGTGCCCTGACCCCGAGCCTTTTGCAAATGGTGTTGTGAGAGGAGCCGGTTACAACGTTGGCCAGTCCATCTCTTTCGAGTGCCTGCCTGAGCTGATCGGCCACCCCGTCCTCACCTGCCAGCATGGCACCAACAGGAACTGGGACCACCCGCTGCCCAGGTGTGAAGGTATGGCTTTGGGGTCACCCCGAGAGCCCCCAGACAGGCGTTTCTGGGGAGAGAAAAGCCTTCAGCTCTCTGTTCTGGCCTCCTTTTGAATCATTGTTTTGTAATCGGGCTGAAAGTTTCTCTGGAAAGAAAAGCATCGCTGGAGGCAGGCTGGGAACGTGCGCTTTGAATAAAGCCTCGACCCCTGAGGTGCTGCAGCATGTTCTCAGTGAGCTGATGTTCAACATGTTCCAGCCTAGTCAAGGAGAAGGTTTTGGAAGTTCAAAACAGAGGTGCATCTTTTGAGGTGGTGCGTGGGAACCTCACGCTAAGGGTGAGGGCTGTCCCTACCTGTCAGTCTCACTGCTGGTGCTGGTGGGAGCTGGGATTTCGGAATGAAGCAGGCCAGGGGGTGAGTATTGTAATCGTTCTTGTCTGCTTTATTTCTTCAGCAATGTTCAGCTGCTGTTGGTTTAGCATTAGTACATAAAAACAGTCCCTGGTAAAAGACCATGTGGCTCTGGGGGCTCTCAGCGTAGGAAGATTGTGTCCCTGTCTGTTCTCCGTGGTGTGCCAGTGATGGCATCTCCAAAATGACCCAGATGGGAGTTCTTCAGCCACCTTGCTGGTCTCCTTTCTGAAGACCGTGTATGCTGGGAGGGCCCAGCAGGCTGAAGGAGTTGGGTCTGTGTTCCAAGCATCGAAGCTCAAATGTCCATATTTTCTCTCCAAGCCCCAGTAGGGCTGTTTCAGCCTTTCATCCTTTGGGCCAGTAGACCGAGCTGTGTGTGCTTTGCTTTAGGAGGTTTTCATACGAACCCTTAAGAAGTTCAAGACTGCTTACTGAAGATTTCCCACCACACTTCCCCAGAGCACTGACCTTTATCCCAGCCTCTTTACAGCCCTCGGTCTGCAAGGAGAGAGGAGAGGTGATATTTTTCCTCTTTTAAGTCCTGAGTCCTTGAACCCCAGAGAACACAAAGCACGAAGAACCAAATCCTCAGCTGCTCTTTCACTGACCCCGGCAACGCAACAGCGATGTGCGTGAGCTGGGAAGCTGCCCGGTGCTCAGCTGGGTGCTGCTGGGAGGGTGGGGGCTGGTGGTAGCAGGATTATGCCCTCATCTACCTCAGGCATCAGCTCTGCCAGCTACAACGATGCAGTTCTTCCTGCTTTGTTGTGGTTTTTAAGTAGCTTTCTTGCTCTGCAGCCCTTCCATAGCAGAGAGGGGTGGGGGCTTAGGTACAGTTTTGACCATCGGCTTTTTTCATCTGGTGGGCTGTTAGTGCTGCTAAAGTCAATGCAGAACTTTTCCTCTTCTAGCTGTTTCCTTAACTGGTCCATTTTTGCATAGCAGCAAGCAGTGAGGACTCGCTGCCTTAGGCTGTAACCACCTCACCTTTCCCAGGCAGGTCACAGCTGAAAGCTCTTTTAATTAAAAGAGAAGCTGTAATTCCAAAATAAATGCACAGAGGCTGAGGCTTCCAGCACCACTGCAGGGAGTGTTCCCAGTGAGCAGCACGCTGCTGCTGCTTTGCAGGGTGGAAAGAAACTTGGCCCCCAGGGTTTCTTGGGTGTTTGCTTCAGAAAATGAGCGTATGGAGTTACAGAAATGCGCGTGCTTTTCTCAGCTGGGCAGACCGTGGGATTTTGAAAGCAGAGGAGAACCAGGCAATGGATATACAAAGCCTGGCTCTAACCTCACATCTGGCACATCAAGGACCAGGGTGTAGAAGTCTGTGGAACTACTCCTATATGAAAAAGAGTGAGTGTTCAGCACTGGGAGGGAGAATGTGTTAGGCTGAGCCAGGGACTGGGTTAATGCAGCTGCGCAGCTCCTAGAGCAGAGCTGGCTCAGGTGGATGGCACTGCCTGCACTCACCCTGCTCCCGCAGTTGTTGCAGGTTACCAGTAACACACTGTGGATGTTATTACCATTTCAGTTGAGCTTCTGTGCCGGGGAGGTCCAGAAGCTGATGCTTGTACGTGGGACTGTCAGAGCGAGGGACCTGCTGTGGCCCCTCCTGCCTTGCCTTCAGCAGGATGTCATCTTCCTCTTTCGCTGCCTGTTTCTGCTTGCCTCTCTGTAGTTTGCAAGTTCATTTGGAGCTGGAAGATAACCCAGTGCCATAGAACTTGTCGTCTTGATTAATGAATCGGATGCTGCTGTCATACAAATCATCATTTCCCCCCTGCTCAGATGTGCTCTGGTGAAAAGCCAGCTGCTCCGTGGTTCTGGTCCAGGCCCCGCTGGATGAACAAGTGGACAGATTTGCCCGCCGGTGTGATCTCATCAGGAGCTGTATTTTCCATGCATGGGTGCAGACAGCTGGTGGAGCCCAAAGACTCTTACTGGGTCCTAAGATAGAGTTTATTTGCACACCTGGCTATCACATCTGCACAGAACACCCTGACAGTCTCCTTTCAGCTCTGAAGCACTAAATAAACTTCTTGTAATGGGATTAAGTTGAAAATGTTAGATGCCGTTGTGACAGATAGGAATTATTCGAGACAAGCTAGGCCAAGGTTTTGGGGCTGAATTCTTCAGAATTGCTATATTTTTATTTAAAAAAAAAAAGGGAAAGAAAAATGGGAAATAGAGGATCTTCAAGAGTTACTGTTTTGGGGGATATTTCTTCATGAGGTTTGTGTTTCTGTTTGGTTACCTGCAGTGCCTTGTGGGGGGAACATCACCACCCAAAATGGTACAGTGTACTCTCCTGGCTTCCCCAACCAGTACCCCAATTCCCAGGACTGCACTTGGCTTCTGACGGTGCCGGTGGGCTATGGAATCCATCTCAACTTCACTCTGCTGCAAACAGAGCCCTACAACGATTTCATCACTGTTTGGTGGGTACAGCAGAGGGGTGAGGACTGACTTAGCTGCTACTAAGGCTCCGTTTCAGAAAGATGCTCTTGCTGATAAATAGAGCATCCACTGCCATGGTGCATAGGTAGTGCTGTGTCTGAGAGCAGGAGGAAGTATCCTCTGGGGACACTGGGGTGAGGATTTAGAATTTTTTAAGCTCCAGGTGCTTGATAGGGCCTGTAGATTAAGGATCATGTGGTGCAAGGGGCCAGCAAAATGGCCAAGGTGACTGTCCTCAAATGCTGGTAATGTTATGCTCCTGAAAAATGCAGGCAAGGACTGCCAGGTCAGTGAAGGGAATGATCACTGAACGACCAGGCTGCTCATGCAAGTGGTAGAAACATCATCCTTTGGGTCTAGAGGGGATCTGTACAGGAACGCTCAGCTTTCCCGGTGCTTTCACCACGGCGTTGTGCAGCTCACTGGGCTGGTTGCACCCTTGGCCCCGTAGCAGCCCCTGTAAGACCTTGTAGGTCTGTTGTGCCATTCATTTCTGTGGTCATCAGCTGTTAAAAACAGCCCACCAGACCCCTGCAGGGCCTGGAGTTGGCAGCCAGGGGGATGTCCGGCGGCAGAGCCCCCCTCGTCATGCTGGGAGCTTTCATCAGCCTGGTCCTTTGTCTCCAAAATGTTTTGCTCAATGGAATAGGGAAGCATCTCTTGGGAAACCTGAGGGGCTTTACAGAGGAGATGTTACGGATGGTAAACGGGGTCTTTATCTCAAGCTGGATGTGGTTGGAATGAGTCTTGTTCAGACTCGTGTAGCAGGAATTGCCTTTCGCTTCCCATTTCTCTGACGGACGTTTTCTGGGGCTTTTTGGTTTTTTTCCTTTTGCACTTTATCTGTGGCTACCTGTCTATGGATAGAGGCTGAATGAAGAGAAAGTCATTGGTAAATTATTCACATTTACCAATGTCCTCCTTGGGTTTTTCTTTTGCAATCGGAGATCCACAGCCCTACAATCCGAGCAGATCTCCCAGACTGGGAAGGCGTTGCTGGGATGGTGTTAGGAACTGGCTGTGACTCCCCAGTGGCCTTTTAAATAGCAGCAACTGGGAACTGTGACCTCTGATGTAAAATGGGCACAGCTCTGCTGCGGTTAACGAAGCAGCACTGATTTCTCGTGTACTGAGGACTTCACCCCAGGAGCCTTCCAGGCTGGGACCATTAGGGGAAAAAAAAGAAGGTTTTTTTTATTTGGAGAAGGGAAGAAGGCGTATTATCAACTTCAGACAGCCAAGGGAGCACACGTAACCGAACTGGCTAAAGGGCTTGTGGCCAAATTCTTGAGCTTGTAGCGCTGAATCAATATCTGATTTCCCAAATAGCTCAGTGTCTGCTGCGCAAACGGGGATTGAAACTCCAGCGGAAAACTGACCCTAATCGTTCAAGTTCCGAGGTTAAAAACGAAGTTCATGTTTGTGATTGTCTACTGGGTGAGCACTGCACTGCCAGAAGAGATTATCCTCGTTATAGTGGAGTGGGGAGGGGGACTGGGGGTCCGGGTCAGCTGCCCAGGGAGCTGCTGGGGCTGCACTGTAGATGTAGAAAAGGGAGGACGAGGAAGGAGCAGCACGGAGGAGTTCCTGGGCATGCAGCGTAGGAGGCTGTTTGCTGCCCAGGATTAATGGCACGTAATAATGCTTTTTTTCTTGTTTCTGACATGATTTTAGGGATGGTCCTCAGCAAACAGCCCCGCAGCTTGGTGTGTTCACTGGCAACTCTGCTAAGAAATCAGCCCAAAGCTCTTCCAATCAGGTCCTGATGAAATTCCACAGCGATGCAGCCAACGGAGGGATTTTTGCCATTTATTTCTACGGTCTGTATCGCTCACTGAGCAGCACGTGCTTTCCACCTGCCTGCGGGGCGCGGAGGGATGCGGATCAGTTGTGGCTCGCTGTGGGGTGGAGGGCCAGTTCTGGGGAAGAGATGTGAAAAACTACACTTTTACCTGAAGTCTTCCACAAAGGGCCCAGTTTTGTTTGAGATGGGAGGTCTCTTCTGCAATCGAGTGCTGGCAAGTGGTCACGCAGTCTGTGCAGATGTGGAATCCAGCTGTAACGTGGTAATTCAAGTGCAGACCAAGTGCCTGCAGATGAACAGCCGTGTCAGCCCTACACCTCCCTCAAGTGATGCCTGTAAACATCATCCCAACCATGGCACATCCCATTACGGTAGCTCCACTTGCCTGCGGTGTTGGCTGGATGTGAGATTGTCTTTCCAATGCTATGCTAAACCAATCCGTGTCCTGTTTTAAATGGCCATTGTGTTCTACTTCATAAGTGGAACATAGAGGCGACTTCATTTCTCTGGGGAGGAAAAGGATTCCCAAAAATCACTTAATTACTTGGGGATTTGTTGGTGTGAGTTCAGCTCATGCTAGAGAGATGTTGAGTATTACATTGAAATGGGAGCATTTGCTTTCCACCACTAAACAAGAGCCCAACTTTAAATTGGATTAGCTAACAAGTTCCTAAGGCAGTACTGGGATTTTGGAAAGTGCAAATGGAGCTCTCCCCTTGCTTTGGCAATTTGCTGGCAACTGTCGGCAGTGTCTTACATGAATTACACGATGAATCTGTGCAGAATGTCTTGGCTTATGTTCAGTTCCAAAAGGCAAGTGTTATACGGATAGGCTGAGTTTAAAGAATGCTTGTTGGGCTTCGGAGGGAGTTGGTTTACTGCTGCAAAACACTGTAAGATTTATATTGCTAGACAATGGTGTGTATATAACAGTTATGCAAAAAATGATGGTTTAGGCAGTTTGGCTCAGAAATGAGCAGTATGTAAACGCTGCCGCAGTTCAGCGAGTGCTTCCTTTTGTGATGTGAATTAGATCATTGCCAGGAAAGCTGGAGAGGGACTTTTTACAAGGGTGTGTAGTGATAGGACAAGGGGCAATGGATTTAAACTGAAAGAGGGCAGATTTAGATTGGATATAAGAAAGAAATTCTTTACATTGAGGGTGGTGAGGTACTGGCACAGATTGCCCAGAGAAGCTGTGGCTGCCCCATCCCTGGCAGTGTTCAAGGCCAGGTTGGATGAGGCTTTGGGCAACCTGGTGTAGTGGAGGATTTCCCTGCCCATGGCAGGGGGGTTGGAACTGGATGATCTTTGAGATCCCTTCCAACCCAAACCAGTCTGTGATTCTATGGTTGAGCCTGTCAGCATATGTTGCTCTTGTCCCATCTCGATAGCGCTTTATACTGAGGTTTCTTTAGCTTATGGTTTGTCTAGGGTGTAAAGCCACTCGCAGGCATGAGGAGAGGTCTGGAGCTGGTGCTGGGTAGGAATTGGTGTAGGCCAGTGGTCGTTTATGACCTGTTAACCAGCAGGGCTCTCTGGCAGCTGCTTGGTCTTTTAGTAAAATTGACTGCCTTACTGCTCCCTTTATACGTGGGACCTCAGTATAAAGCCTGACCCCAAAGACTGAAGTGATGGAGTTGGTTGCCTCCAGGGTGAGATCCTTCCCACCTTCCCAGGCTTTCGTCTGCGTGTGATGCCTCGCACACCACCAGGAAAGGGAAAACTTCCACACTGGGCTCAGGCAGCACAGTCAATTAAATCTTTGGCATCGCCCTTTGGGGTGTAACTGCAGGAAATGCAATTTCCTTGGGGTCTACAGTAATGTATATTTTAATTTCTGCGTCTGCATGCTGGCAGATCTAGGACATAGGAGACATCCTCCTTCAGCTTCAAATTGTCTTTTCCTGTGACAATCAGCACGATGTCAGAGAGCCGTGGCCCTTCTAAACGCCTGCAAAGAAACGTTTCCGTAGGGTGGAGGAAGGGAAACAAAAGAAGGATTCACAGAGCCCGAAGGTTCAATAGCATCCCTTGAAAAACGATGACGTTGCACCTGTTATGAAGTGGGTTAGTTCAGGTGCCAGCACGAGCTGACGTGTGAGCGCGATGGGAGGGGGTTTTATGGCACAGTAACTCAAGGGGGTCCCAGGGTGGTTTCAAGGACGAGACGCTGTTTTGTCCTGGTGAGAACAAATGGATGTGCTGTTGAAAGGAGCTTTACTGGTGCTGTATCACCCATATGCTGAAGCCACCTTAATCACACCTCTGCGTTGAAATACGGCCCGTTAAGGAGAGGGGAGTAATGCTGTAAATGCTGGGTTATCTGTCCACTTCAGTAGATGCTGTCAAGCGCTTTTTAAACAGTGTTTAATTTAAATTTTTGTTGCGGCTTCCTTCTTTTCTCCCCCCACTGTCAAACATCTGTTTAAAAGATTGCAAAGAAGGGTGTTGCCTCCTGGGATGGCTCTTTGCCGTGTAGCAGAAGGGTTCTCCACTGCTGCCTCTCCCTCCTCTCCCATCCCACGTGCTCTCCCAGCTCCTTTGCTTGTCCATTTTCCGTGCTCCCATGCTGGATTGCAGAGAAGGGGCTGACTGTCCGAATTACAGGGCTGGCCCTTTCCTTTGACCCCCACCGCTGGTTGAGTTTAGCTCATTGTAGCAGCATGTGTTTGGTTTTTCCTCCGCCTTGCACGTATGGGATACATAAGCCCATCCTTGACGTTAACCAGAAGCAGCTGCGTTCCCTCCAGCCTGTTCCCTCGACCCCAAACATCTCGTACTTCCACATACCTTTTGGGAAGGTACTATCCTACCTCGGGTTAGAGGGTAAAGAAATTGGGGCAAGATGATGGGGCATCTACTTCTTCCCATGTGTGTTTAAGCATCAGTGTAAGCCTCGTTAAGGTCGCTGCCAGCTGTGCTGTGGTGTGAAGAGTTGGACATTGTGGAGTTTAGTAAGAATTAATATTCAATGGCAGCTTGAGCTCCAGGATCTTAAATTAAAGGGCTGATATAAATTTCAGAGGAAGTTATGCTTGTCCAGGGTCAGGTGCAGGGGGAGCAAAGAAGCAGAGAAGTGCTGAGCAAATAGCAGAAAATGTCTTTCATTAATATTCATTTAGTTCCCGGTACCGTATTTTCAATTTAACTGTGCTCACAGCTCTCGTGTGTTTATTTTCTATAAGCAGCACAGTGCTCGAGCCTTATGCACCCACGTGCTCGTAAGCAGCGTGTTTGTTTTGCTCAGCATTAGCTGATCTTTAATTTTTGGTGGAAAAGTTGCTATTTGCAATGTATTCGGTCAGGGGCGTGAGCCATAAGGAATTTTTTGTGAAATTTTCGGGATGATGATTGTAGTTTACGTGGTGGTGGTGCAGTCCGAGACTCTCCCTCTGCTGTGACGTACCCAGTTCCACTGAGGTCACCGAGATCTTCTCTCTTAGTGTCCCAAAAGGTGTGGAATGTTGCCTCACGTCAGCATCCGTCAGTCGGCGTTCGGGGTTTATCCGAATGGGTGATGCTGTCTGGGTACCTGCATCGCCACAGACCGACAGCAATCTGGTTCCTATTAGGTGTAAGAAACTGGAGAAAGCTGCTTTGGGGCACAAGTAACTGGAGTCTCTGTAGGGTTTGGAGAGGGGAAGGGGCTGGTTGTGCTTTTGCCAATTCCTTCTGCTTGTGGAGAGGGAGGATTCGTGCTTAGCACCCAGACAGCTGTGGCTGCCTTCATCCCCAGCTTAACATCTCCTACTCTTCCTTTGCTCTCTTTCAGCCTACCAGCTCTTCAGATGTCAGCCTCCGACCATCGTTCCCAACGCAGAAATCATCGCTGAGAACGAGGAATTTAACATAGGTAGCCTCTCTTGGTTCCCCTTCCCCTCTCACCACCTGCCAGGGATGCCCACAGGAAGACACACATGTTGTCACCCCGTATCTGGGGTTTCAGGAGACCTCTTCAAACGTGTGTGTGTGGCACGGGGAGGTGTGTGTGACCTTGCTCAGCACCTGCCATTCACATGGAGTCAAACTGATCCAATTGTCCCAAAGGCTTTTTCCTCTTTCTTGGTACAGAACAAGTGGTTTTGCTTTTGTGAAAGCCCTGAGCTTGTTTGGCAACATTCAGAAATCTTTGCCACCATAATAGTTTTCAGGTGGTTCAAACAATGAAGCTTAGTGGCCGTTATTCTTTTTTTGAGACCCTTTCACCCATATCGACTGTGCTTTTTTGTATTTTTCTTGCTGTTGCTCGCGGTTACATCCACGGTTTAAATGTGTCTGCAGCCAGTGAAGTAGCTGTGATTTTTTTTTTATTATTATTTTTTAAAGCAGCTTTTCTCACTGTCTGCTCTCTTTGAGGGAAGTCTCCACCTGAAATAGCTTGCACAAATCATAATAGTCTCAGCAGCATGACAGCAGTTTATCCCAACTGAGACTCCAGTGTGCCTTTCTGTGCCTTTTATTTCTTCATCTCTGCCTTTTATTTCTGCATAACCGTGCCCGAGCTGGATGGCAGAGGCACAGTCAAGAGGTCTCTGTGCCCCATGGCACCCTCTTCCCAGGCTGTGGTTCAGCCTTAAGGAATTGATCCTTCTCCTGCATCCAGATGTTTTCCATTTCTGTCTGTAGGTGACGTAGTGAGGTACAGGTGCCTTCCTGGCTTTACCCTGATTGGAAATGAAATCCTGACCTGCAAACTAGGCACTCATCTGCAGTTTGAAGGACCTCCACCCACGTGTGAAGGTAAAGCCAGGAGTGCCCAGCGTGGCAGCCACAGCTTCCAGTGCCCGGAGGCTGCTGCAATATGTGGGGGCTTGCTAGGGGATGGAGCAGGGTGGCAGCTGGGGAAGGTTTCCTTGCACATACTGTGTCTTTGGGATTAATACTCAGATCTCCAGGGTCCCAGTAGTGCAAAACCACCCATCAGGACCTTGTGAGGAGGGTGGCGAGACACCTCTGCACAGGGAAAGGCTGTTCTCCCAACCCCTGCGAGGCTGCTGCAATATGTGGGGGCTTGCTAGGGGATGGAGCAGGGTGGCAGCTGGGGAAGGTTTCCTTGCACATACTGTGTCTTTGGGATTAATACTCAGATCTCCAGGGTCCCAGTAGTGCAAAACCACCCATCAGGACCTTGTGAGGAGGGTGGCGAGACACCTCTGCACAGGGAAAGGCTGTTCTCCCAACCCCTGCCCTGGGGCTGTGCACCATGGCTGGGCTCACCTGACAGCAGCAAATAACAGTCAGAGATGGGCTGGGTGAATGCAGCCACCCTATAAACGGTGGGGAACGTTCCTCCACCCCCCACCGGCTCCAGAGAATTTTCTGGGTCTCTGCACCTTCCGAGGGCCTTTGCCTCTCATCAAGTACCCCTGCATTATATCCAAAGGAGGGTCACGAAGATGATCCAAGGGCTGGAGCACCTCTGCTATGGAGACAGGCTGAGGAGTTGGGGCTGTTGAGCCTGGAGAAGAGAAGGCTCCGGGGTGATCTTCTAGGAGCTTCCTGGTACCTAAAGGGGCCACAGGAAAGCTGGAGAGGGGCTTTTGACAAGGGCATGTAGTGACAGGACAAGGGGCAATGGCTTTAAACTGACAGAGGGGAGATTTTTATTAGAGGTAAGGAAGACATTTTTTACAGTGAGGGTGATGAGTCTCTGGACCAGGTTACCCAGAGAAGCTGTGGCTGCCCCGTCCCTGGAAGTGTTCAAGGCCAAGTTGGATGAGGCTTTGAGCAACCTGGTGTAGTGAAGGGTGTCCCTGCCCATGGCAGGGGGGTTGGAACTGGATGGTCTTTGAGGTCCCTTCCAACCCAAACCATTCTATGATTCTGTACTCCCCTGAGCAGAGATCTGACACACCACGTGCCTGACTGCATTCACAAAGTCATTACAACAGTCACCCAAACGTCCTTACCGTGGGAGGGGGGGGAATTCTGCGCTGACAGGTCGCTGGTGATCCATGAGCAGCTGAAGGAGGAACAGGCTGCAGCAGCGAGCTCCTCTGGCCAGGAGCAGCCTCTTCATTAGTGCCACAGAACGTATTACACGGGAGAAAAATGAAAGCCCCGTGCACGCGGCGTTGTACACCTTGCTGCTGCTCGGGAGGGCTCCCAGAGATGTTTCCATGCTGCCATGTTACCTTATTTATCCTCTGGATTCCTGCAAAGCTTTTGTTCGCTCCAGCCGTGATTATTTCATCTCCTTCGTTCCCTCCTATCTGAACATTTTTACCATATAATGGGATATTTTTCTATGGCTTTATTCTCTCTGAAATAGCGTGAACCGAGGGAGAGAGAGGGAGGTCATTCAATTATTTACTGATGGTTGTTAGCCTGGGGGTAAAGGGACTGCTTAAATTACATCTGGCCACCAATTTATAGAGGTCAAAAAATCACTGATGGGATTAAGGATTTGGAAAGAATACACTGTTCTTTCTGGATAGTTCTGGCTGTTTTCTATTAATACAAGTACAGCGTTTGCACTGGCTTTTAGTGGCAATTATGGATAAATAAAGATCCTTTTCTTTTTATGCTTTTTGCTCCCTTTGTGTGTTTGTCTCCTCTTTTGGGCTGTTTTTACTGGCCTTTTTATTTAGTGCTTTTAGAGGGATTTAATATTTCCCAAAGCTGAATGAGGTGTAGTGATTAGAGAAAGGAACTGGAGTTCTTACGTCCCAGTTAACGACTCTGTGGGTGACCTGGGATAAGGCTGTAGTTCCACACCTTGTTCTAACCCAGGTAATAAAGTTTCCCGAGATTCCTGGGGAGTGTTTTGTAACTCGAGCGTAGTCGCTGGGTTTGTGGAAACGCAGTGTCCTCGTTCGGAGCCTTCATCAGGGTCTGGGGACTCTGTGAGCCCCGAGGGTCGAGGTGGGCGGTGGGAGTTGAGCTGGGTCAAGACAGAGCATGTCAAGACAGACCTCGGCCACAGTATCTTGTGTTTCCTTCCTCCCTCTGCAAAATAGGAAAATGAATTTTCTATTGTCTCTCCTTGACGTTCCCTGCAGTGCACTGCCCGATGAACGGGGTCATGACGGACTCCACCGGGGTGATCCTCAGCCAGAGCTTCCTGGGAAGTTACCCTCACTTTCAGACCTGTTCTTGGGTGGTGAAGGTAGAGCCGGGCTATAACATCTCCCTCACCATCGAGTACTTCCTGAGCGAGAAGCAGTACGATGAGTTTGAAATCTTTGATGGTAAGAGGTTCACCGGTTCGACTCGCGCAGCAGCTGAGGGGCGAGGAGAGAAGTGGCAGAGTTTTAGTTGTTAATCTCTGTTCCCAGAGCAGTCTGGGGAGGGCTTTGCACCACTATGCCTGTAGCCTTCTGGACTGAAAGAAAGCTCCTCCTTAGACTGATTGATTCTCTGGATAAGGAAAAAATCAGTGATTTGATTTTTTTTTTTTTTGATGGATCTAAAGTATTTTTCTAAGGGGCAGGAGTTAGCAAGCTCCTGGGAGAAACGTAGCAGAAGTTGCTGGGAGGGGATGAGCTGAGACGGGTGGGACTTCTCATGCCTGAAGCCCATGCAGACCAGATTTCCTCGGCCCGTGAGCTCTCAGGAACCGAGAGGGCATCTCTCAGTTTTCACAACGAAGCAGCTTTGTAACTGCACGCGGAACACAAGCGCTGTGCCGATGCTCCTGTGCTTTCCCGTGGGACCTGAGCCGAAGGCGTGCTGCCTGGAGTGAAATCCTGGTCTTGCTGCAATCAGCTGGGCTGGGGGGTTCGTGGAAGCTGGTGTCTGCACTGGGACCTGGGTTCACAAAACCACCGAGCATGAGCTG